TCCTAACAATTGTGGGTTTGAACGTCTTCAGAAGTGGACCCAAACAAAACATCTGACATCATCTGACATCTGCTAATATCATCTAAGAACCTAATATTGCCGTATCTGCTATGTTTGAAACATGGTGATGGAGGGGGTTAAAGGATGACACGTCTGAGCAGCAAACGTGCGAGTGTCAAATAATGACTGACTATAGTATCAGTATCGATCATAAATCGGTGGGCCATGAAGAACCTCTCCAAGATTTCTTCCATGCTGAGAAGTGTGAGGTCTTTTATCACTGTATTCCGATGCCCAGTATGTCTTGATTGGCTTGACGCATAAATATCCTGCAAGGCCGTTGAAACCATGCAGTTTCCATGGAATGCCGTCAGTTTGCACCTCATCATGTTTGATCCAACACTGCAGTTTGCTGCACAGAATTCTCGATGTGTCAAACAGCCTTGAAAATTCCAGAGCTTCTCACTATTTAATTTCAACATACCTGGAAAGACAGTGCAAAGAGCTTGGATCCAAACGCAAAGCTTGTTGAAATATTTATGAGCTCTTAGACTGTCAAGAAACTCCTTCAACATGTCCAATAAGTTTGACGGCATATATACAAACAACACCAAGAATTCTCTAGAATGTAGTCTAGAATGTAGCCCAGAAGGAGCATCCTTTGATCTTGCGCTTGGCTTGGCCCGTCTTTGGCTCTTTCGCTCACAACGGCAGGTCACAGCTCCAAGCTGGAATGGACTCTTTGCTTGGTTCGTCTGAACTGTTTGAATATCGTCTTGCACAAAGCAAGACTTTTTTGGTTCCTTCCCATCCTTGCGATGAGGAGGGGACCTCTGTGCCACCATAATACCCTGCCTTCATATCACATCCCTTATATAATTCAATATACAGTATAACTTATTCTCTCTGGCATACACACAAGAGCTCCCAGTCCCAACATCGCGTCGAAATCACACCGCTGGAGTCAGTTGTGGTCCCTGAAACAAGCGCTTCCGCCTCCACCATAGTGGCGCTGAAAAGAATAGAGATGTTGAGGTGTTTGATGCATGCATTTTTAAGATTTGCTGACTCGGAAGCCATGAGAAGGGGTCTTACCCAAAGGGACAACTAAAAACCGCTCGATCCGCAAAAAAAAATTTGTGGCCATGATCCTCCATGACCCAGCAATGTTCTGTTTTTGCCAACCTTTTTCAGCGAGCCAAGTGGCATGGAAGCTCCTTTCTCCCGTGCCTTCTTCTGCAGCGTTGACGCTCTTATTCTGCGCTTTGCAGGCGGAGCACGACTTCGTCGTACCACCCACTGAAAGATTCTTCGCAATGACTCCGGAGACCCAGAAAGGATGCCTCTTAGGGCCTTTTCAAATTCTTGAATTAACCCCTCCCAAAACCACGTATGGACCTCGGATGAGCTTGGAAGATATCGTTTCTGATGTTTCTTGAAAACCAAATTCAATCCATTTCCTTTGCCTCTAATGTTGAGAGTCCATGCAAGTCTGTGGGAGGGCACCGCTAGGAACGAACTGCTGCGTCACTGCACTTGAAATCATCATCTTGGATTCATTCGTCCTGCAACCTTCCACACTGAATTGACTCTGGAAGACTCAGCACTTAAGCCTTCTTCCAGCCATTAGACAAGTGCTGCCTACCTCATCTCTCTTTAACATCAATCTTTTCATTCCAGCACTTGACTTTGCAGGTCTTCCAAAACTTTTGTGGTTCTCACAAACATGCAGTGGGTATGCAGCAAATGTCGATCTGCTCACCGTCACTGCTCTGTTTGAAAGCACATGACGTCTGTTGCCCGTCGCAACATTGATGAACTGTGAGATCCTGTGAGACTAGCGATACGTGGCCGGGAGGTGAGCGTTTGCCAACAGTTAAGCCAGGCCTCAAGCGGACGGGAACATGTGCGGAGCATACTTCAGGAGGAAGAACGTTTTTCTTCTTACCGGGTCTTCAAGACATCCATGTGGATCAGCCGCGGTCGAATTACGAAGTCCATTTTGCGTGGCCAGTAAGGGTTGGTCAATTATAACCCGCTTATATATATATATCATATATCTATATAATAATGGTATGTATATATATAAGTAATTGTAGTCAATCAGCTTTGGAGGGTAGTCTTTCGACCGAGCGAGGTGACGTCAGTGTCTTGCAGGATTCTAAGGGAATGGTTTTTCACTTTGGAACCTTCAAGAAGACAACATTTTGTCCTAGTGGTGCAAGCAACAGCCCAGCCTTCTGAAACGCTCCTTGGTTCAGCGTTCATCTGGATTCGAACGATAATCTTTCTCTGCTCCCCCCAAAATCAACGAGATCTCAACCGCGCGGGTTTTTCGAGGTTTTTGAGGACGTACCCGGTTTCTGCCCGAAGTCCACCGCGAACTTCACGCACTCAGTCTCTGACCTAGCAGCAAAAGCAGCAATTCTCACGGCATCCATCCTGTGAGGGCTCCGGGCTCACAGCAAAGTCTCTGGTGGCAGGGATGCCCTTCTGGCTCTGGGTTTCAGTTGTTTGAAGCTAATGTCAGTATATCAATGCTGTTTAATTTGTGTCTGCCCCAGTACAAGGCTGGCGGCTAGCACACCTGCCCTGCAACACATATCAAGGACAAAAGGATCCAGTTACCAGAAACTAGGGCGATCATTCCATATGCATCGAGAGCCAAAGCACCCTGACATCCAAACGAATCTAAGGGACACCTTTCTGCAAAAATAAGAGAGCCATATGTTGGGGCATCTCCTCACAGCAAGTAGTGCAGGTCAATTGGGCAAACCTTCATATTGTTGTCTTACCCAAATTCTGACAATTGATTTTATATACAATGATGACTGCAACCACTGTTTCCCTGCACTCTCCTGCTTACGCCGGGTCAGCTGGATCTTGCACTCCTCGGTCAGCCGCATCGGTCAGTCACGATGAGGGAACCCTGTGGTGAAAACATCATCGGCATCACAACTTCACAAGAATACTCATGCCCTGGAAATCAATATTAAATATGGTTGCCTATGGTTGCCTCTATTTGACAGAAGACTGTCTCACATACAAAGACCTGACTGATCAACAAAGCATGGTTTCCTTTCGCTGGTCAGTCTTTACTCCATTTGAACTGTCAACTCAGATTATGATGGAACCACTACAGTAGGAGTTCACTCACACAGACACAGATGCCGAAAGTGCCCAACGTGGCAAGGACCTTTGCTTGGTGCCTGGAAAGCGGTCGAGTTGATGCCACACAAGTTTGCACTTGTTTTGCAGGTTTGTGCTGGAAGCATGTTGAAGTGTTTTGGAAGTTCTTAAATTTGGTTTGGCGAATTGGTTTGTTGCATTGGGGGATACTGGCGAAGGTAGCCCTGCAAATGCTTAGAGCTCTAAGCTGCTGACTCTCTGCGGACACCAGCTCGCTTTTTGTTGGAAGAATCCCTGTGTAAATCGCTGAGAACTTCTGTCGTTCCAGAACATATGTTGGTCAAGCCTGCAAATGGCCAAATTGCTTCCTGTTGTTTGTGTTGCAGTGAGGTCGCTCCATAAATATTCTAACCGTTGGGGAGCGCATGTTGTAATTCAAGAAAGTTGACACCTGGGATACACATACCCAGCACATGCCTGCAACTGCGCTTTGCCGGCTTCTTTTTAGCTCATCCGGTAACTTTGCCCTGTGAATTTTTCACCTTCGCCACACACCGTTGCGGTTGAACGCGGTTGTACCAAGAGTTTTTGACTATGTCTCACTAATTCTCACTATGTCTCGCGCCTCTATGCTTCACCTCAACCAAGCAAACTGGGATTGGTTGTTTGCATGTCTGTCCTGAAAAGAGAGTTGAAATTTGAAATTCAAACATTCAAACACCCTCAAGCAGGACCAGGTTTTATTTCCTGCACCAGTCTGACCCATCCAGACTGTTTCTAATCATACATTCTTGGTCGGATGCCACTCGGCCACTCGGCGCAACCAGGCTTCTCTTTTGATGCCATAGTGTTCCAAGGTGTTGCTGTCTTCCAAGACCTGGAGATATTGTCGGGGGCACTTGGTCCACGAGATCCGAAAGATTTCATTTATCTCCCAGCAGCGGAAACAGTTGCTTGGCTGCTTGGCGCAGCATCTGCCTTGCTGAGGATTTGGAAGATTTGCGTCTGCTGAAAGGATCACACCGTAGACCCAGGAAGAAAAGAAACAACATTAGGGCGATCCAGGTGTTTTCAAGCACAGAAATCGCCTTTCGTGCAAGTAATTATAGTGTATATATTACTGTACCAACCCTCTTCATCTTGTAAAGCCCTTGAAAAAGCTGCATCAGTGCTTGCCACCTGTGCTCGATAGCTCAACATCTGCTCATTCGGTGCAAGTCCTGGGGAGATCAGTCGACCGCGGGTCCAGTGGCACAAAGGGCGGTGGCTCCATCGGTATTGTATACTAAACTATACTAAACTTATAATATACATGGCTCTACATTCAAAAATGGACCCCTCCTAAAGATGCCCTGGAAGGAACAAAAAGGATTGATCGGGTGCGTCCCTAATTTACGTACAAGCCCACACGCAGCTAACAAGGCAACCAAAAAGGTGGTTTGTTCAAAAGGGTTTCACCCATGTGCGAGTGACGTTGTGCATGTGAAGTTGGCCACTAGGACCTCCAAAACCCTTGGACATTGGACGACATGAATGACCTGTGAGTCTATTTGTTTCTTCCTAATGCCTGTGTTCCCTTCAGCTAGCTTCCTGAATTCTTTGGAACAATGATGGATTGAGCCTCAAACATTTCCGACCGCTGATTTCCATGGCAGGAATTGAGTGTTGAGACCCACCCTCCTTCACAGCTGTGTACCCTTCTTCACACGCATTTTTTCAGTGTGTAGCTCGAATAGGGTCTTCCTTCCGCCAAATTGACTCATGCATACCAAAAACCATCTAAAACCGGGCCAGGGCAGAATTTCAGAATGATGGCTTCCCTGCCGCACTGCTTCGGCATCACGTCCGTCTTCCGGCCCCAATGGCACCGGTCACTGCCGGTCGTGCGGTCCCGTGCGGTCGCGGATGGCCGTCTTCACATCCGCCACCGTCCGATCGGCACAGGCGCCATCCACACGGAAGGAATCTCCTTCGGTGATCGAACTCGGCATCGAAATGATCAAGGAGTCTCGAGTGGGTCGCTATGGGATGCTAAGGAGAGATGATTCGTACCAGGTGTGAAAGCGGTGTTCTTTTGGAACAGTTTCAAGATAAATAAGATAGTATATATATATATATGTATTTCTAGATTAATTCTATATAATATATGCATATATTTATGCTAACGACTCCCTAGCTGTATATGATCAATAGGATTGGAATTTGACCTCTGACTAAAATTCTTGTGATAATCACAGTTGATGCACGTCAGTGATTGGATTAGGTCCAAATCAACTCCGGTCCACAGAGTTCCAGCGCCGCCGGTGACCCCATGTGACCCCGACCCTCAGATCGATGACCTCATCCTGCCATGAGGACTACTAGTAAGGCACTTGTTACTAGTAGCGAGGCACTTGTTTCTACTAGCTTCTTGTTACTACTAGTAAGGCACTTGTTACTAGTAGCGAGGCACTTGTTTCTACTAGCTTCTTGTTACTACTAGTAAGGCACTTGTTACTAGTAGCGAGGCACTTGTTTCTACTAGATTCTTGTTGCTACTAGTAAGGCACTTGTTACTAGTAGCGAGGCACTTGTTTCTACTAGCTTCTTGTTACTACTAGTAAGGCACTTGTTACTAGTAGCGAGGCACTTGTTTCTACTAGCTTCTTGTTACTACTAGTAAGGCACTTGTTACTAGTAGCGATGCACTTGTTACTAGTAGCTGGGGAACTTAAGTTTCCCCCAAAGTCTAGGAACTAAATGCATTAGGGCGGCGGGGGGGGAGCTTCCTTGAAGAAGGATGAGCTATCCTGCGTCCATATATAGTAGCTTACTTGTAGGTACTGGCTACCACAGTTCCTTACTTAATTGAGTAGGCGCTTACTTAATCAAGTAGGGAGGGGGGGTCGCCAGGGTCTGGACGAAGCCGGTGTCCTTCGTCCGTCTCCACGATGAATTGGCCGCATCCCTTGAGACGCAGAATCAACGCCACCTGAGTCACAGTGCGAAGGTACACAAACAAGTAAAAATTAGTAGCTTTATTGTTACTAGTAGTAAGGCCAGGAGCCCCTAGTAGCGTCCTTGCTCCTAGTAGCGATGCCAGGAGCTCCTAGTAGCTTCTTGTTCCTAGGAGTTCTGTTCGGCTGTTGCGTAAGTTGGACATGGGGTACGGTTGTGAGAATGCCAAATACATCGTCAGGAACAACATTAAAAACATTAAACAACATAATCCAGTAGTACTGGTTATATAGCTTCGTTAACCTGGACCCTTCGATCGCTCAACTACGCACAGGTTGAACAAACACAACTTCCGCACACGATTCTGAACAACATCTGATGTTCGAAATGCATGAAGTGCCTTTCACGGTCAATCGTCAGTGGTCAATGATCCTCCTCGCCTGGTCACCAGACTGAACGCCCATCTCTTGCAACGTGGGACCATCCTCCAATGGCTTACCTGCCGATTTCGCAACAGTGGAAATGGTGGTGCCAGCCTTCGGCTTTCACCAGCGGCGAGGGGGTGGGACGCAGTTTCTCACCAAACTCTGTATCGGGTGGACAGTGCAGGTCGCCTTTCTTTTCGAACTCTTTCCGTGACCTCCGAAGTGATAGTGGCCGCTGTCTGCCGTGTGGCGTGGCCTCTGCAAATAAAGAGCATTTGCTCCACTGGAATCGACATCTTCTCGTTCACGAACGTTTTGATTTCCGCCACAGTATCCTGTGCCCAGAGCTAAGCTTTCCAAGACCTTCAACATTGGATGATTAACCTTTGCCTCAAAAAGACAGCGGACACCCTGTAGGTTCCGTGCTCGTTTTCGTGCTCTTCCTGAACCAAACATATTGGGTATTCCTCAAAGTCGAGGTTATACGCTGCCACAACCTTCATCTAATGATCAACACCAATTGTGCTTGTCAAGGTCCTGGCCTGATTCTGGCTCTTCAACATAATATTTCACAAAACCCTTTTGTACAGCTACAAAGCATGGGTGTGTGCGCGTGTGTTAGAATACATTAGAATGCGCTAGTACACAAAAACACTATAACACGATATAGACCGAAAAATGTTTATATATGTTTATATACTAGCTTATCTAAAAATCAATTATATAATTGGCTTGGCAGTTTCCATCAGTTTCCAAATATCTCACCCCGGAAGGTCGCGTCCTGCGGCTGCAACCGGATGTTCCACTTGGCACGAGCCGTCATAATCTTCAACTCCAAGGGCATGACACGAACAAGGTTCAGGGAGGAATCCTTGGTCGCATCAGACTACCCAAACTTAGAAAGTGCAGCAAAGTAGACTTTCACAGAACCCTCATGGTAGAGCTTCAACATCATGATGACCAACCAAATTTGCTTCTGAATTGCTAATTATCACTTCTGAGAAACATACACATACAAAAAGTATCAAATCAAAAAGTCCAATCAGCTCAGAATGCACCCGTTGATCTCAAGAATCTTAGTGTGTTTCTTATGTTCCATTGTCACATTGCACGTGCTGCCATGCGCCCGCCCGCTTGTGACCGCACTTGTTGCAAATCAGCGTCATGACCGATTCCATAGTCGCAAAGTCTTGCAGTGTTTCTCAAGGGCCTCAAGCTGTCAGGAAGGTTAAAGAAAACACTGAAAGTGGTGAATCATGGCATCATATAATATGTTCTCCTGCTCACTAACATGGAAGTGGAAAGCCCCCTGTTTGTAGAGCCAATGATCTTACAGGGACCTATTGTCCACTTCCACTTCCATGTTAGTGAGTCAGAGAGTAACTTTCTGCATTGTAACGTTCTGCATCACCATCCTGCAAGTATTTGAGGGCCGACAACTGTTCATCTCCAAAGCCAAGCAAATCTTCTGGACCCACAAAGCTAAGATCTCAGCTGCGCATTGAACACCAAAAGCTGCTCTTGCAATGGTATCTGCTCCTTGTTCTGAATTTCGATCTTTAGGTCTGCCACTGTTTGTAAGCTTGTGGCCTGCGTGGCTGGCAAGCAGGAGAGGCCCGAGCTTTGGTACGCAAGCCAGAATTCATGGGCATGCATATATATATATATATATAATATATGTATATATATATATATAGTGGGCTCCTTCTTCTAAATCCAGCTGGCTTTCTGGTACTTACGAGGCTGCAATAGAACCAACAACTGTGTGTATGGATTCTGCCCACTTAAGAGTGTTGGCAAAAAGATTCTGATCCTGTCTGGGAGCAGAACTCTGTCTGTTCTGGAAGGAAGCAGTTGAACTGAAGCCAACGTGTTTCAAAAGTCTGTGCGCTTGTAGCAGCTGAGCGGTGTCTAGATGGCTTCAGTGCTCTCCATCTCACAAGAAGGTTCAAAGGCATGCAAAGACTTTTGAGGCTTGCCAGAGTCATCTCAAATTCTTGACAAAAGTCATCGATTTGTATTCTTTCTTTCCTCCTTGCAATGATCGGTGTCAGATCATTGCAAGGAGGAAAGAACAACGTGTCTTTTGAACGAATGTAAAGATGTTGTGCTCAATGCAAAATGCTTGCTATGCTTGCGATGCTTGTGCTAGCATCCCCCTGAGATCACAAGTCACACCCTGTCTAGTAACTACTATCAAAAGAAACATCTTCCAATCCGTCTGCAGTCTGCGGAGCATTCTTTCCATTGTGAACAACTGGGTGACACTCCTGTTCACATGACACCAACTAACCACGCGGCAAAAAGAACGAGCAAACACGAACAAACCACTGGTGTTCAGTTCCCTGGCGTATTGTTGTGATGATGGTGAACCTTTTGGATACATTTCAATCCTTCCCTCCCAAAAAACCTCCGCGCGACGTCCTTTTCGCAAACAACAACAGCAACAACACCAACAACACACGACGACCGACGACCGAAAAACACACTACATTACTAAAACACAAAATTGTTTTTAAATTGTATTGGTGGTGGTGGTTGTGCTGGGTTTTCCACGTGCAACACGCGATTCTGGGGTCCCGAAGAGTCGACCGGCATTTGTCCGTCTCGGTGCGCACCTGCAAAATCAACGCCCGGCCGGAAAAGAGCATCACAGTGAGCCGGATCCTTCAGCCGTGTCGGTGGATTTTCTGCTCAAGGGACGGCGAGGAGGGCGAGACGGAAGGACGGTGTAATTCTGTTCAGAATGCCAGAGATGCGCCAGGGTCAAGGAGGAACTGGGGGGTAGAAGTGATACTTCTTTGTTTTGGAGAGGATTTGAGGGAACTGAATTAGTCTATATAGTGAGATGAGACATGATCTCTAGGAGAAGAACTGCCCTGAAAAGATATGATATGAAAAGAACCGGAATGCCTTTGAGTCTGGGATCCCCGTCATTTTCTCTCAAAACTCCAAGCCCTATGTGAGTATCACCCTACCCTGACCGAGGGCCGCTCTGGGGGGTTGTAAAGAGAGGTTGACCTGGAGGAAAGCCTTGGTGCTTTGGAATGAAACCACAGGCCTTGTGGTGTTTCCTCGACAGATGTGGAGGTGGCCCTAAAAAAGCAGATCCAAGAAATAATCATGGAAGTGGATTACATTGGCCCTTGGATGACCATTTTCCTCTACAAACTATAGTGGTTGTCCACTTCCATGATCATTTCAGGGAGTGTATGTCCAGTTTTTGCAGCGGATTCAGGTGGCACCCCAAGTTTTGATCTTCCAGAAACCTTCCCACTTTGTGCCACTCTGAGAAATTATGCGATGTGTACGTAGATTGGCCCATTTCTTGAGCCATGGCTATGTTGAGGCTGGTTCTTCCACACGATTTCGCTTGAAGGCGGTGAATCGCAACTTTGACTCGAACGCCTTCGTTGAAAAGAATGAATACTGTTACCGAACATGCCACATGTTTGACAATCGTTTTGTTGCAAAATAAGGTCTGTCCACCCTTTTCTTTTCACGTGGGTCAAGAATCAACGAAATGATCAACGATCCCATCCAAGACATTCCAAGACTCTCTTCATCAACCTCCACTGCTGAGATGATCTTGATGGCAGGCTTCACCTTTGGCCAAACACGGGCAGCGAAGTTCTACCTGTGTTTACAAGCAACAAAGGTCCTCTCTGAGTCCTCTCTTGTAAGAACTTCAGGATTAAATCTGTGTACTATATACATATGACACAAGTACAGGTATGTAGAATTAATACAGTTTTTTGTATCAATGTAATCAACAAATGGTACAGTATATTATAGCAATTGAAACAAAGACCTCCTTCTGCTAGTCACAACGTCAAGCGGAGCGAGGATTCCGCTCCTTCCGTGGCCTTCGTGTTTTTCCACATGCACTTTGACAGAGACTATATATCATTGCGTCCACCCTTTGAACATCTCTTCTTTTGAGGCAAATTCTGGCGTTGCATCTCCCCACAGAAATGTTGTTCTCTCTCTCTCTCTCTCTCTCTTGGCCAAAGAAACATCTCGCATGTCACTTTGATCATGCCACTTTGTGTCGCGAAACACATACATCTGACTGACTTCTCTGACTCATCTGTTCTGAGTTCAATGGTTCAAGGATTCCATGCCACAACTCCGTGGACTGCAGCGGCCTCTGGCATGGATGTCGTCCTCACTTCGGTGTCATGCGTGCCTCCCAAACGTGGCAAACTGCCCATATTCCAAGCTCCCAGTCGCCCCCTTGTGATTCACCCAATTCACCTCTGTAAGCAAAGAACACACAGCAAGAGATTGGCCAAGCGGATTTGGACCCTCAAAGCATCTCAAAATGGCCGCACCACGCCTACAGCAGTACTTTCACCTGGAAGGACAGTGCATCAAAGGCAGGGGACTGCATTATTAGTGATTTCTCCAAGTTGAAGTAAGCAAGCTCAAGGATGCTTGTGCCGAGTACGACTCAATTGCTCCCAAACCAAGTGTTCGCATGATTTGTTTGCGAACAGCCACTTGCTATCTTCGAAAGTTGCACGACAATGCCAGTGACGCCAGAGTTTGCTAGTGACACGATGTACTATGATGTACTAAGCCTAGGATCATGAGTTGGGATCTGAAGCAGGCCCAAGCAACACCATTACCATCCATTTACCACTACCCTAGACGTCCAAAGACAACATTTTGCCCAACTGTCTGAAGTAAGGATGTCCCTTTTCCGGTCACCGAGCCAAACACGTTTACTGTAAAATTTCTTCTTTCTCTTCTTGGACTTCCAGGGACTCTTTCAGGGAAACCACCTCGATCCGGCAAAACAAACGTGGAAGTGGAAAACCCCTTCGCCCCCGTCCTTTCCGACATGACCGAGCAGCATGAACACGCGGACAGGCCAACAAAGCTCAGCAAAGAAGCAGTCCATGTACCTTGCTCCATGGCTGTTTGGGCATCCAAATGCTGCACCAAAGCCTCCTGCACCATGAAAACGCACGAGGTCAAAAGTGAGACAAGCTCGATGATTTGTTCAGGATCTCCTAGAAACATCATGAAGCATTGAAGGTGCTTTCACAGTTTCTTCCTGCCCTTTTGGCTTCTTTACTCCAACTATGTCATGTTTAAATTTGTGTGCTGCCCGAAGTCTCAAGTGCTCAAGGCACACAAGCTCCCACATTGACACATGAGCTCGCACATTTTTCTGATTGAACCGGGGGAAAAAAAAACGCTCATCACGAGATTTCAGTTTTGAAATCTGGCGACGGTGTGCCCCAGATCCCTGTACAATGGTGAGACAGCCTTCGCACTGTATTAATTTCAACGGTTAACAGCTTAGTATATATGTACAGTACAGTATCATTATTTACATACATTTAATTATATACATTGAAATAGTGCTATAACACCCTCAAAGCTGCAGTACCAACCGAAAATGGACTCCATCAGCTTCTGCAGAACTAGCTTGTGCTATTGGATGCTATTGGTGGTGGGTCTTTGCATGTCTTGGCAAAGCTTTAATCATCCTTAATCATTCGTCTGAGCACGGCCGCTCTTGAAGCTGTGCTGGTCCAGGAGGGAATGTCGGATTGGGAAGCAACCACCTGATCGCATCAAACCAGTAACAAGGGCATCACTACTAGGAGCAAGAAGCTAGTAGTAGCTCCTGGCATTACTACTAGTAACAAACGGCATCGCTACAAACGGCTAGAAGTGTGCACAAATCTCGAACTGGACTTCTTTTGACCGGCTTTTCATCAACAAACCAGGAATGGTCGAGGACATGGAGCCATGTGGCGCGAACGTATCCTGTCCCTCCAGAAATCGGCTGCCTCAGTGCCAGCTGGAGCCTCAGTGCCAGCCGAGGGGCCGAGTGGGACTCCTCTAGAGCATTTCTTTGGCACCTTCAACTGCTCCTTCCTCTGGATGTTGCCATACAAGGGAACGCCCAAATCCACTGCACTTGTGAAGGAAAAGGAGTCGAAACAAAAGTGTATGGATATGTATGGATCATCCTTTTGGAAAGCTCACCTTTCCAGGCTGGTTGCGATGTCTAGTTCTATCAAAACCCAGACTCGGCTGCATTCAAAAGTTATCATCATGGCTTCTCTTTCAGGTCGACTGAAAAAGCACCTCCCTCCGACTCCCTCCCCAAAATTCAATACTAGGAGCAAGGACGCTACTAGGGGCTCCTGGCCTTACTACTAGGAGCAAGGACGCTACTAGCGGTTCCGTGCTCCACCTCTCCGGCCCCCTTCGAGCTCCCGGACGCCAGTTGGTGGGGCGCCGCACTCGCCGCAAAGGCGCCAAGACCGAGGGCGTCGTGGACCTTCGCGGCCGTCCGTGGCTTCGTGGACGATGTCAGGAGCGAAGTATGGAAGTGTGCCATAGTGTGCCTGTCCACAGGTGCACATCCCATGTCATCATGGATGTGCCCAACGGCTTCAACAGGGCGTGAGTCAATGGAAAGCTCTGAAGAGTTGACCTCTCTTTGACCGCTGGCTTGACCGTCCATGAACATTCGGCAACAGTGTCTTTGTTCTAACTGAACAAACCATCTCTAGAAAAGGCCTTTGCACTCGCACTGACTAGCATGCAAACAGGAAACTCGTGCCCAAAAAAGCACCCGAGTCCTTTTGGGGATGCATGACGGCCGGGCTGGGATGCATGACGGCTGCGCCGTTGACCTGGCGGGGGCTGAGATGTCGAGGGGCGTAGTGGCCAGACCACATCCTATAGAAACCCCAGGTCACCTCTCATACAACCTTTGATCTCCCTAGAATCATCATAAAAGTGGAAAAAAGGCACCTGCTGTCCTCTACAAATAGGCGGCTTTCAACTTCGATGATGATTCCAGGGAGTAAGTCTACAAGTAGTATAATCGGACTGGCCGAGCCATTTAGAAGAAACACACAATTTTCTTTCGGCTCCAAGAGATCTCTGACAGCTGAAGCCGACGAAATGATCTAGCTGACAAATCATGGAATGAATTCACCCTTTTCTATCCTTTTCTCCTATACCAGGGATTCAATGATCAGCTCATGGCAGATTTATGTCCCAAAGCCGCCAGGCCGACGATCCCGTGAGAGCAGCCAAGGGCGGCATGAAGATTGGCCTGAGGCGACCCTGGCAACCCTTTTTTTCACCAACAAAAGGTGACTTGCATGACAATTTTGAAAACTTGTCATTGCCACATATTGCCAACGTCTCTTTTTGAAAGTCTTACAGCTTTGCGTATATCTATTTGTTCCCAAAGGTTTTGGTGGTGGCTGCGAACTTCTCACAACATGCGTAGGGTTCCGAATCTTATGCATATGCATGGAAAAGACACATAAACAAAGGCATGACCGTGGGTTAAAAACCCAGCGTGAACCGAATCCTCTAGACTCTAGGGATGTCAACCTACAATGATTGGGTGCGGGTCAGGTATTGACCCAAGCCACTCAACAAAACAAGCCATCTTCCCAGAGCTCGTTCACCAATCCGTGTAACCAATGACATCAAGTTCTACATGTCCCAACAAAATCGGCATGAATCAATGAAGCCCGAATCCTTATTTGGTTATATACTTCTGCGGCTACTAAGGCTAAGCAGACCCTACAATGAATCTCGTGGTTCAGGATGCGGATCAAGACCACTTGGATTCGATGAAGAGAGATGACATGTTTATTTTCATATCTTTCTCGTGACTTGCGCGGCCAGCTAACATGCATTTGGGGCCCTTTGTACACTCTGCCACTGTTTCGGACAGTCTCTTTCCGGACTCGGAACGGTGGGTCAAAGCCACAACCCGGAGCTTCACACCTCCAGGTCCATGATCTTTGAGAGGTCGACTTTGAGGTCTAGTGACTAGTGGGTGGACTGCGTCAAGCACTGGGTGGCTCTGAAAGAGCTCGCAGCTAGCGGTTAGCGCCCTCTTTTCGATGGATTTGACGTGCGTCGGTCTTTGCTCAGTCCGCAGTGCCAATCTGTACAATTGATGCTCCCATCCCCTTCGGGTGGAGCGATTCAATGGCATTTGCTTTCTGAGTGTCCAGGCTTTGGTCTGGACTGGGGTACTACTAAAATCCCGTGGGCTGCAGCAATTTCCGGAAAATGCTGCTCTCTTCTGTGCAGAAGATCAGAAAATTCGATCGCCTATAAAGGGCGCAAAAATGAAGCTCAAGGCCTGAGAAAGTCTCAACAAAGAACGTTTTCGAACTTCACCTTGATCTGCTTGCCATTCTCCAAATGAACTTGGTACCGGCCAGCAGACAAGTCAACCTCCGAAACCTGTGCTCTGGAGCCATTGAGTTGCGCCTTGCTTAGGCCACAAAGCCTCACGGCAGTACCAGGTTTCAAGATACAGTTGCCGCCTTGCAGGCTCACGATTACTGGAGCTGCGCTGCCAGCATTCACCAAAACCACATAGCGTTTGGTCGCCGGATCAAAGCTCACGATCTGGGCAGTCTTGCCATTGAGTTCTGGCTTGCCTCAACTGATGGATCATGATGGATCTAAAAGTGGAGGCTACTAAGTTACTAATGGCTACTATTGATTCAAGAACCCCGAAGTGGAGAAACAACATCCAAAGGCAATCAGTCCATAAGCAAGCACTGACTAATGACAAAGTTTATTTATGAAACGCGTCATCCACTGACATCTAGTTTTGCATGCACGAACATCAACAACTTTCCTTTTGCTCTGAGCTTTCTGCACCAATGCGAGTTGCCTCCAAACAAAAACATTGCCATTCTGTCAATTGATGGACAAAAACAAGTTCCTTTCTTGATTTCATCCAGAGTTGCTGTTCAACCCATGGATGGTCACGGTGCTCTGCTGAGTGATGTTCTCAGGACGCACATGGATCACCGGGCCGTCCTCTAGGCGAATCTCATAGCGGCAACGCTGAGGGTCGAAGCCGCCCACGTGTCCACGCTTTCCGTTGTGCTCCTCGTGGCGATTTCTCCGGCGTCAACGACGCACCCGTTTCGCATGGGCCGGCCATGCGGCACCAAAGTGGCAGAGTCTGCATGGGCAGAGTCTGGGAGCATCAGTTATATACTGGTTCTATCTCCACATCTTCAAAACCGAGTAGGCTAAAGCAAATCAAACACCATCTCATGTGGCTTGGCTTGATGGTCGAGAATGGGAAACTCCAAGGCAGGGAGCTCACTGGAAAGCACCATGTCGCAGGGTCCAGTTTTGACAACAGCGACTACGACAACTTGGATCTACTCAAACAACCTGGGAAAGACATATCCCTCAAAGAGGATTCCACACAGGGAAATTAACAACCACCCCAGGCCAAACGCTTCAGAAGAACACCTCCAGAACACGTCCAAGGATGACAATCTTCCAGAAGGTTTCCCTACACTGCACTGAACCCCAAGTGAACATAGACTAGACTCTTCCTAAAGGGGCACGAGAACTAGAACTGTGCAAAATTTTCTCCTTATACGTGGAGTTGTCATTGGATACATACATCAATTCCTGTGACCCTCAAAAACTGCATGCAACTGCAAGCCGCCACTATGTTCTGCCCTTGATGTGCCACACGTGTCACCCTGGTCGCCCAAGCGCTCCTTGGCCTTGTTCAAGCTGTGGACAATCACCATTTCACCTGCCTTGATGGTGCCATAGGTTCTGCTTGACGCCCGGTGAGCTTGCCCCATCCCACCCATGCCCCCAAAACTGCCCATGCCACCCAATCCGCCCATACCACCCATGCTGCCCATACCGCTCATACCACCCATGCCGTTCATACCGCCCATGCCGCCCAGTCCACCCATGCCGTTCATACCACCCATACCCATACCGCCCAAACCCATGGACATGAAAATGTCTGACAGGTTGATGCCATCAACGTCCATACCTCAAAGCGCCCGACCGATTTGCCACGCGCCCACACCACCAAACTCAAAAACCGGAGAGCCGAAGAGAGCCGAAAGCACCACCTTTTCTAGGGGGCCACAACCGATTCACTGTGAGCCACTTCTGGAAAAAGTGAGCCACTTGGAGAGCCCGGTTAGCATGGCGCCTGGAGGTGCATGACATTCTCGGCACTTCCGGGGTCTTTTTCGGATCAGTGGTCAACTTTCATGATTGTTGGAGGGAGGCTACCTCTTCTGACAAATTACTTATATTCCTGGCAACACTGGAGAGGCCTGGATTTCATTGTTCTCAGCGAGTGGCTTTCGCCCCCAGGGCCACTGAAGACCACCCGGGTGGTTCCCTGCGACGGTCGGCCGCCGCCGAAGAGATTGAAGAACATCTCCGCCTGCCGAAAACAACCGCCTCAAACCGTGTCACCTCTGACAGTCGTGGTTCCAAACGCGCCGAGGTCGTCAGGTCGTCAGTTTATAAGGGAGATGGAGCAAACATACGAGAGAGGCCAAGAAAGGGACAGGAACGAGCGGCTTTTGGCCTACTGCACTGTATCATGTTAGAAATCTACTCATGGCTGAGGCTTGTATCTGATTCTTCAGGCACAGCAAAATTTCTGATGAGAACTGGAGAACCTGATGTATATAATCTTTTGACTTGGTCCATCTGAGATGGTGGGACTTGTGATGGTTTACACTAGAGTCACTAGACCAATCACCAAGGACCGGAGGCAAACATGTCTTTTCACGGCTAAGGGTAGCACCGCACTAGCTCAGGCCTCAAAGAATTGGCAAACCTCGACTCTCGAAAAGGACTTTCATCTATCTCTCTCTCTCTCTCTCTCTTTCGTGGGTGGTCGGCTGGGTGGCATAGGGCATATATAGGGTTTGCCTACTTTTGGTCAGCAATGGCAACTATGATGAACTGCATGGGCCGTTCGTTCAATACCACCTCTTGAAAAGCGGCTTCCATGGCCTTGATCAGACCGAAACTTCGACCGGATTTGTGCTCCCACCTACAACGACCGACTTGCGCCTGCTCGGGAGACACACCAGCTCCCGAATCACCACCTTGCAGGCCCTCCTTGCCAGCGCCGTACGATTGTCCAAAACGCTTGCGGAATCATGACTCGTGTCTCTGGCTACAGGAACCAGGTGCATCAGGTGCCTAAGACTTCTGGAAGAGGACTTCTAGTGACTAGTGAGTGAGGATGAGGGAGGAAAGACAGGAGACTCTCCGTAAGGTTTGCGCTGAGAGACATCAAAGGAACCTTCTCTGACTCTGCTCTGATCGTAAAGAGAAGTCTGTGAGTTCACTCAATTCCTGGGCGGCTCCGGAGTCTCTCAGTGAATGCAAGCAAAAAGCAAGACTGTGTCTGCAATACGTGGAATGAACAAACATTTGATCGAATCGAAGAGTCAATGTCTTGGTGTGGGTCTCAATGGACACCCTAAGCCCACACTTCTGCACCACTGCAGAAACTCTGGACACCCTTGAAGCGCTAGACCACTTGGAGCGAACCGAAACAACCACAAGGATCCATGATCCATCACTCCTTGCCAAACTGGTCGTACTTCTTCCGCTTCTCAGGGTCGTTCAGGACATCGTAGGCTTCGGCCAAGCGCTTAAACTCATCCTCAGCCTCCTCTTTCCTTGGAGCTTCCCGTGCTGGTCCCGTGCTTGTGAGGTGGACAGTGACTTGGATTTGCTGATTCAGAAGCCGGGAAGAAATACACATTCCCCCCAAAGGGGATTCACCCAGTTTGGGAAAATAACATCACTCGATCCGCAAAACCAGGATTAAGTTATTTAGTTATTCTTAATTAACAGGTTTTCCCGTTTGTCACCTACATACTTTCTATGAATGTCGTGGATGACGGCCGTTTTTCATCCTCTTATGGCCCCCCCACCCAATGAAAGATACGTTACGATACGTTACGTTACGTGTTACTGTAGCTCCACCAATTTATTGCGAACCATCTCTGAAAAGGTGGGACACCACCATCACTATACACTGCCTGAAATTGTCATGGAAGTGGAAAACGGCCCCTTGGATGACCATGTTCCTCTACAAATGGTGGTTTCCAACTTCCATGATTTTTTCAGGGAGTGCACTTCAAACAATTCCGACATCCCATTCTTTCCTCATTTTCCTTGCGCAATCCATGGCTCCTGTCCAGATTCCGGTCTGGGTGATGTTTCAAAGCCAGCTTCCGATAGGCCTTAATGCGAAAGCAACACGGCTTGGGCAGCTTGCAATAAGAAAATGGCAGTGAGGGGCAGGGAAGAATGTACACCCTTCCTTGTAAAAACTATTGCCCCAAAGGGGCTTCACTACAGGGTGGAAACGAACAATAATGATAAAACATGAAAAAGGACATGGCGAACCGGGTTGTGGCTGGTTGTGACACCCCGACGTTCTTGGTTGACCCCCAGAAAACAAACCAAATGGACGTCCATCGTGAGGATGTGAAGCCGATGGGAAGGAATGTCAACACCAAGCAGGTGACCACCTTGTAAAACTTCTGAAAAACAGCTCTTTGAATGAAGTTAGGCGGCGTGGCAATGCAATGGCATGGCCCCCATCAGTTCAAGGATGGTCCTCTACCAAATAGACCTTTTCTATTTTCATGGCCTGGAAGGAGCGTCAATCTATCATGGATGTACCAATGGATATACCAACTGATGTAGCTTGAATCTCTGGTCACCCGGACCTCGCCCGGTCCGGCATTGGTGTGGACATCCACCGGTCGAGAACGTCGGCATCAGCATCGCTCCTTGGTGATCTCGGACTCGCTGGCGTCGCGGTGGACGCCCAAGACCTCGTAGTAGTCTGAGGACTTCAAGTTGGCCTAGGAGCAAAGACGCTACTAGGGGCTCCTGGCCTTACTACTAGCAGCAAAGGGCGTCGCTACTAGGAGCAAGGACGCTTGTTCGATTTGCCCAGAAGGGTGGACGCATGTGGCACGCGTGCCCACGGTCCCAGGCTGTCCTGAAAGATCTGAAAGGAAGCTTTAGGTCCATTTGTTGACCCCCCCTCTCATCCGTTCTGGTCTTCCAAAAATGTAACTTAGAACGTCCCCACGTATCAAGTTACATTTTCCTGGACCCCCCCGCCCCCCTACAGGTATGATTCCGAAAAACGTGGCAAAACGTAAGTTACATTCTTTTTTGGGTGGGGGTTGCCAAAAATGTAACTTACATTTTGCGCATTTTGGGTCCCCCTCCCCTTTTCATGGTTAAAGGGGTGGCGATAATCTATCCACTAAATAGAGATCTATTTGACCATCTAGACTCTAGACCCCCAATGTATCAGCGATGGTCTTCTACAAACCACACTGGTTAGATGGGTTCCAGAAAAACTCTGGGGCAAATATCGGCTGTTGCTCATAGACTTGAACCCAACAGCATCCGTCAGGGTGGTGCAATCGCCCCAGTTCGTTCGGGTCGCCCATCGGTCACCGTTCGCAACGGAGCCAAGAAACGGGAGCCATGGTTCTTTTGATCCAGGCAGCGCAAGAGACTAACTGTCACCTTTTCTTTGAATGTGAATTCTGAGCCAGTTTCGACCCGCGGACGTTGGGAGCACCTGCGTGGAACTGATCTCATGCCCTTTAGGTTGGATTGATCAAAAGTCCCTATCCGACAACATGTCCCTCAAGTGGTCACTGAATTTCAGTCAGCTGCAGCTGCGAAGGATAGAAAACATGGAGACTCTAGATATCTCTAGATTCTAGATCCATCTCCTTGAGGTATGGGCCAAGACATGTCGAAACTCTCCAACAATGTCTAACAATGTGATGTCATCTGTCACATACGCACACAAACGATTCTGGAGATGTTGGCATCATTTGGGATCTGTTTTTTGGAACCCGCGCACCAACAACCTCCCTTCGGTCCACCAAACACCACTTTTTTCGCACTCAGCGATCGTCCCCATCCTTGCTGCTGCAGGGCTTCCGTCGGAGCAGTGCTGGCCAAAAGTTAAAGTGCGCTTGATTAACAGGTCGTTTTCTTCTCAGAATGGCTGAATACGGCCCCATGTCACCATGTCAAGCAGAACACTTGAAACATCTTGAATCTTGAAGCACAAACAATTCATCACTTTTCCATCTCTAGTCGCCTTTCAGCAAGTGGAAGATGAGCCGAACCAACATTTGCAGTCCAAACCTACTGCAGTCCTCGATGTAAACAATCTTCTCGTCTTCCAGGCGAATTGGAATATGACAGTGTGGGCGAGATGACAGGCGTAGCAACCTCAAAATGGCTGGGAAATGCTGGAAGTTGGTCATGAGATTTGAAAACAACAAACACTTCTTTTTGGAAAACATGACATGGGATGACATGAGAAACTGTTTCTTTCACCATAAAGCAGCTGAAATGCCCAATCTCCCGACCTTCCTCAAGGATCCCAAGGTGTTCTCTCTGTCCCTGCATCCGAGCTGCAAGGGATCCGCCCGCAAAGGCGTCGAGGCATAGGATCTCAGAGGAACGACTGGTCGCTAGTAGCGTCCTTGTTCCTAGTATCGATGGCCTCCAACCTACTTGCGATGGCCTCCACCTAATAGCGTAGCAAAGCCCTCCCACTCCATACCGTCTATACCCTTGGTTTCCTACCAGGCGGATCCCAGTGGCTCTAGCAAGGAACACCGGGTTTGCTCTGTCTATGCATGTTTTGGGTCTTTGGACCCTCTGGCCATCAAGGAAACTATAGTGATTCTAGTGGCAACTGGATGTGACTGGATCCTCTGTGTAGTACAGTACAAGAAAAACATCGGGTTCACTTGTCCTTTCCATAATCATCATGGTTCATCTGCTCTCAGGAAAATCGCTCACATCAAAAACTGCTGGGCAGCAGCTGTCTGCCGAGGAACAAGGCATAACCATGGCCCAGGACTGCCTGAAATGACACAAATCCACAACCTTTGCTTAGTAGCCTCCTTGCCCCCAGGAGCGATGCCCTTTGTTTCTAGTAGCTTCTTGTTCCTAGAAGTAAGGCCAGGAGCTACTAGTAGCGTCCTTGCTCCTAGTAGAAATACCCTTCGTTACTAGTAGTGTGCCGGGATCTTTGGGGTGTCACGGTGCCGGAGATCAGGCCCTCTCTTCCGACAGTCCTACACAAGTGGTCTTACGGTCAGCTGATTGAGGTGTGCTGTATGTCTATCTACAACACGGCTCCATAGAGAAAAGCGTCCATTCTTCTGCTAGACAAAGCTCAAAACCACTTAGGCACTTCTAAGTCACTGCCCCCTCAAGAGCCTTATCTTCCCTCCAACCAACATGGATTTGTAGCGGGACATCGCGCTTCTCAAAGTTTCACTTCCATGATTGTTGGAGTGAGGAAGTCCACCTTTCCCATCTTGAAAGGTCTTCAGAAACCTCTCAAAGTCGAGATCTGCAGGAAAGACCCCCGTTTTCACATCTTCCCAGCAGTCTTAGTCCTTGGCCGGATGGCCGGATGGCCGTTCAAACACCTGGGATGTTGTGTCCAACCCCCCGAGCCTGTTGGATGTTGGTGGGCCAACCCATCCCCCAAAAAGGTTGAGCAGGTTAAGTAAAGCATCCACGCCCTTTGGCTCCGGTTGACCCCCATGAGGCTCAGCGAGACTTGCCTGGTAGACCACCTCGCGGTCGTGACGAAGGTCCTGGAGTGCTAATGGCCATGGCCACTCCGCGCTTCGTGTCCCTCGTTCGTTGACCTTAATTAGGGGTGCCCAAAAGGTTCGAACAAAGCACTCAAGGCCGGGTGAAGATGTGTGAACTTGAACTGCCTATCAACAAAAACTGGACGAGTCACGACTTGTGTTCCATGTCTGTCTCCCAACTAGCCCTTAAGATCGTCAACTTTGCCTATGTCTCACTTGCATTCCCGGAACGCTTCCCAACGCCACTATGTCGATCTTGCAGCTTTCTAATTGTTCCAGAAGGGGAACACCAAGTCTGGTCAAACCATGTCAAACCTCTCAAGTGTAAACATATTTACATTCTCCGCCGCCGCCTTCTCATTCCACAGTGATCCATTTGGTTTCAGAACTTACACATTAGATGAATTCAAATGAGGACTACATACAAAACAACACCAAGGGTGTGACCCATCCCATCCCTCATCTATACTCATCTACTTAGAAACCACTGAGACAGCGAGTCGACGACCCCTGGTAACGCACCTCCGAAGCACACCGCAGTAAGGTGCCATGGTAGCGCACCGCCTGCAGCATCACCTGGCGGGAAGAAACACGAGAGAAAGGAGAACTTGAACTCAATTGAACATGGCCAATTGGCAGGAGAGAACATGTCCTTCTTCCATCGTGACATGAAGGATAGGTGAAACCTCTATACAGGTGGGTGTGTCTGGTGCAAAATCATGAAATCGATAGAACACACTCCTGAGAGGGATAAGGTTGGAGGTTCCCGTCATTTGAGACATATAGCCAATCTTGAGCAAAAAGCACAAGAACTGCACCCAATGGCATCCAGCCTCTCGATCAGATCTAAAGACTGGATCTGCCCACATAATGGCGTTGCCATTGGATCGCACAGCAGCCAAAACGATTTGCCGATCCTTTCCTGAGACTTCAACGTGTGCACGTCAGTGGTCGGTGGCTGTGAATCCAACCTTCGAAGTACATCTTTCCCCAGCCAGCGCCACTTATGGCCACAAGTGCAGTTGAAGTCAGGGTTTTGCTGTTGAGACAAACGCAAAACATCTACACTACACTTTCCTCTTTGTGCCAAACACCTCGAGAATATCGACTGAAGACCAGGTGTCGTAACTGCGCAGACACATGCTTCAGGGCACAGCCATCGTAAGAGACTGCTGCTAGGGCGATGTCTGGGTCATCTCTTAAGCTTGCGTCGAAGGAAGAATCCGAAATGACATAGCCTGCGGGCAGGGCAAAATTGTGGCATGATTCATTCATATTCATTCACAACCAGGCAAGGATGATCAAGTTACGGTGCCTCATATCATTTCTATCTATATCACTGTCTGAACAACTCGAATCCACATGAATTTAGAACACCTTGGCCAATTTCCAGCGCTCATCTGCACTCTTGATAATCTTATATAGAGTTCTTTCACTCCATCTTTAACGAGGATCCTTCATGATCCTTGGGGTTCCCTCACATGTCCCTTCCATTCTTCCTCCTTTCCTCTGACCTCTCGTAATGTGGAATCTTAATTAATGAACCCACATATTTGGATTGAAACAACCTCTTCATTTGAAGCGTTTATTCATCGCTTCTACATTCCTCGGCCCCCGCGCCGTTCTGCTGCACAGCAGCCATGGCCACCTGAGGATCCCGCCGCAGGCGTCCGTCCGCGTGGCGCAGCGCCAAGCCGTTCTGCCGCACGGCGGTCAAGACCAAGTCCTGGCCGAGTGCTGGCTGAGTGGCAACCGGTCCGCGGTGGAAATGTGGATATGGATGGAAAAGGGATCACGATGGATCCAGCTTGAGGGACATAAAAAAAGCCGAGTCCCACAAAACAGTTTCCAGGGCAGCAAGGGTGAAGATCCCAAATTAGATCCTCGTAAACATTTATCTGGCTGTACAGAATTAATGGTTTCACCCCCTAAATCTCTACAACATGGTTTAACCTAATGTGTTCCTGCGTGTCTGAACGGGACCACACGACATTTCCGACAACCTCCCATTTCATTGCATTTCATTCTAGCAAATCGTCCATCGTCACTCACCTGTCTTGAAACACCTGATTTGTCGGAAAAACAACACAAATAAACATGTTCATGAAGAGACACTTACAGTCTCAGTATAACAAACATTCACCCTTCAAGCACATCAAACCTCTGGTTTTGAGTTATCCAACCTGGAATGTTGAAAACATCTAGTGGTAGTGTTTCTTACAACGTTCTTCCTTAGGTCTAAGTTCTGGACAAATCACTATTATGGTTATATAACTACAGAATGACTGGGCCTGGAGTGACTACAAGACGGGCTGTATAGATTCCTCTGGGACGTCAAAAAACATCATGTCAAAAAACTATTCAAGGCCAAGCTTCTAAAGGAGTATCCCTTTATTTGCCGGAAAAGTGCACTTACGGCTCTACACAATGCAAATCTGAAAGACCCCGGCGACATTGACCACGCTCCAAAACAAGACAGCCAACTTCACGCGCACTATATAATGTTGCTGTTGATGTCGCCGAGGCCCTGGCCACCTACAAACCCCCAGTTGCTGAGTCAGCTTGACAACTCAAGCTTTCGCCTCGCGGCTAGCTTCGTGATTACCGAGTACCACAGACCAAGGCTTTCTCAAGGGCAAAGCCTCGAGAAGGAAGCCAACACAAGCCAGTGCATCATTTGAACATCCAAACCTCCCTGGCTGACCTCCAAAAACGACAGAACCGAGCTCTATAATATATATATATATATATTATATATATATATCACACACACCTGTATAATCGAGCTCTATATAGGCTTGAACCGCAAAACACTACGGAACCAAAACGGTCTCCTAACTCTTTACCTCCGGGGGCAAAAGACCATACATATTGTTTTTAGATTGGCACAATGGACTTGCAAACCAACCCAAATCCAAAGCCCACACCGAATCGATCCACATACCCCACGATTCCAATATGAACCCCTAATCGGCCGATGCACCATTGCAGCATTTTGGAGGGTTTGGTTCTGACCGGCACTTTGCACAATGCAAAGGGCATCTGTCCTTATCATTTTTCAGCGCTGCTGAGGCATAGGTCAAGGATAAGCCGTTTTGCTTCACCTGATGAAGAAAGCGGCCCAATACATGGCTTTCACCGTGCAGGATGGTGAAGTGTTTAGGGGTCTTAAAGACATGGGGACATCTACAGAGTTTTGATGCAGAAATAATGCAAACATTACCCACAGATCTCATGGACGCCTGTCTTCCTTCAAACAGGGGGGTTTTCTTGGAATTTTGCCTGCTCGGCCCTACGAACTCCCCTTTCAAGAGTCGCAGAATCCATTCGTTTGGGGGCTCTTGCGCCCCACCCAAAAAACACCTGATATAGGCATGATTAGGCATGCATATATATATATATACACAAATAGATTCACACCTAGAAAGATCTTCACTAGGCCATAATTTCTGCCTAACTTAGGCTGAACATACCGCCCGTTTTGCTAAGAATGTAAAAACAACGAACACACTATAACATGAACATGCAAATGAAACGCCAATTGAATTCCTGATTCTGATGTACAAATGATGTTCATCACTGTGGAAACTCCTGGAAACAGTGGTGGATGGATCCTTACTGCTTGGGGCTGCTGAAGGAACCGGAAAATATTCAACAGAACGGGTTCACCCATAATTTCAACACCGGATTAATAAATTCACCCAGTTAGTTTGGCCCCCCTCGGGGCCTCCAATATTAAGCGCTCTTCAAAAAACCATCTGGCCCAAAGAAAAAATCGGACAACAAGCCCCTTCCATCCCCCTCCTATTATTTTGGTCCACCGACCGTTTTAGTGCTGTGTTTTTGATTCAATACTCATTGCCGTCCACCCTCCACTTCCCAGACCAATTAGTATGGTTGGACCAATCCCTCATCCTATGGTACCTCAAACCTTGTTGACCTTAATGTGGGGGCTCATAACTCAAATATTCCACCGAACTCCAATATCCCCAAACTCCAATCACTCGTAGAATCCTGCATGTCTTCCGATGGCTTCTTCCATATCTTCTGCCTCGACGTTCCTTCTCACCAGATTCTCCTTGTAAACATCCTTGAATGCATCTCAATGCTTCCTGGACCCATTTCTTCATACGAATATCATTGTTCATTGCTCTTGATCTATCTGGCCACAGATCACCCCAAATCACCCAGAATCCTTCATATGTTCTTTATAAAGCCCGGATAAGCCTGGCCTAATTGTTTTTCAAGCGCGCAAAGGCGGTCCCCCATAACCCCTCCATTCAACCCCTCTCCCCGGCCTTGGAACAATTCTCCCACAGTTTATGCATTGCACAATCAATCATTCGATCAATCAATCAAATGTGCAGGTCAGAGGGACACGCACAAAACGAGAACTGTACTCGAAGCCGTTTCAATATTGAAGTGAAAACAGGTGCGAGGGCACGAGCAGTTATGAGCCCAACGTTGCAGGTGTAAGACCCCAGGTGTGACGGGACGGCCCCAAGCCTTCGGCGCTGTATGATGGCACGGCGACGTCGGCAAGCAGCTGGCAGCGGCAGCGGGGCGGATGGCGATGCGGCTGTGGAGGCTGCGGCGCTGGCGGATGGAGAAGAGCATGATGAAGGAGAGGAGCAACTGGCTCTAGAAGATGGGGAACAAGGGGAGTGTCAAGGACCAGGGAAGGCCGACGAGCCTAGGACCACCAACGACTCCTTTGTTCTCGCCAGAGCAGCTCCGAGACCTTCATGAAGTCCAAAGCCAAGCACCACATCTCTATGCCAAGGTGCCTCGAGAGAGTGTGTGGCGTCCAGGTGGTGGAGCACAAGACCAAGGACAACCACCTCAGCAGAGCACGACTACGGGAACTCCATCTCCTCTCCCTGGCCCAGGACATGATCTTCGGGAACCTCAAAGAGGCCGATCACCGAATCAGCAAGTCCCGGAAGTGGAAGAGCCAGAAGAGAGTGATGAAGACCGAGCTCGACTACAAGATCAACTTGCGGTTCAAGCACGAGGCCATGGACCGGAATACCAAGAACGTCATATCATCAAAGGGTATGGAAAAGGCAGACCTCCAGGGTATGTGATGCCTCACAATGAAGGAAGAGGGAATCCACTACTTGCTGGACGACCGCATCTACAAGGTCAAGGGCTTGGGGTTGGTGGATGGCAGCATGGACATCACTATGGGTCAGGTCCACCGAACTCGCAGGAGATAATGACCATGCTTGCAATGCTGAGACAAGAGAACCAGCAGCTTCGGGTGGAACAGGCCGAGGCCGAGATGATGGATGTGATGAAGTTCCAGCAAGCAAGCTTGGAGGCTAAGGTGCACGACCTGCAACAGGAGCTGGAGCAGCAGATGTTTCGGACACCTGAGAGTGGAGACACTGTGAATCGCCATCTCGAGATGACAGCAGGTGAACAGGAGAAGGAGATCGACCTTGAGAAGGAGAGGAAGCGTCTCTATGAGCTGACGCCAATGCAGCAGTTCGAACAGCTTCAATCCCTCATGGGCACTCCTGCCCCTGGCAACCGTGGAGGTCGTGGGCGTGGACAACGGGAGCGTTCGAGGTCGTTGCAAGGGCCGAGAACGTCAGGACTACAGAGGAGCAGACAAAGGGGTCGGTGGCAGCCAGAGCCAAGGCCTACGAAGAGGAGCTCCGACAGGTCAGTGGAAAAGGTGTTGGTCAATCTCGGAGGAGATCTACGGCAACCCAGCCTACTCAGCCCGAAGCCTCAGGAAGTCAAGATGGGGTCAAGGGTGAAAAGATGATGGAGGTGATGGCCAAGCTGGTCAACCATCTTGTGGAAAAGGAGAGCCGAGACGGTGCCCCAGAATCGGTGAAGCCTGGAACAGTGACACTTCCTACGCTTCCTGAACCGGCGGATTCGGCGCCGATTGACTTGACTGACTGGCTCACGTTGATAGAACCAGCGATGACTGACTTGAGTGGTGCGAGCTGGTGGTGGATGAGGCACGAAAATGGTATAGCCACTACATCCATCTTCGACCACTTCAACGAGCGACCTGCGTCATCGAGCCATCCTTGGAGTTGCAGAAGCCCAAATGGGTCCGGGTGGAAAAGCGGGCCATCAGCATGATGCTTGCAGCTGTGCCGACGAGCGTGAAGGAGGAACTGGTGGCCGCGAGAGCACTTTCTCCATTGAGGCTGGTCAGCAAGCTCATGGTCTTGTATCAACCGGGTGGGACGCATGAGCGGTCTATCATCCTGAGACAACTTGAAGAGCCTTCAGAAGCTACTTCACCAGCTGAGGCATGTACCAAGTGGATGCGCTGGCTTCGACGGGCCTCAGATATTGGTTTGAATCTTCCTGACTCAACGATTTTGATGAAGGGCATCATGAGGTTGAGCCAGAAGGTATTGGCCCAGCAGTCGGACTTGCAGTTCAGATGTTCACTGGTGAGAAACACGTTGCAGTTAGACACGATCCCAACAAAGGAGACGGTCAAAACGTATGCTGAGCACTTACTTGCTGAACTTGAACAACTCATGCATCGAGTCAGGCCCAAGACTGCGGGAGCTCCGAGAGCTGGCAATCAGGGAGGAGGTCCACAGATCAAGGCGGCCTTCGTTGATGAAAAGAAAGGAGAAGGAAATCCAGATGGCAAGAGTCCGGGCATCTGCATGATGGAGGATGCCGACGAGGAGCAGCTTGCCGATGGCAGCATCAAGCTGAGCCTGGAGAAAAGAGGTGCTATGTCTGTGGGGCTACAAATCACTATGCCAAGGACTGCACTCGAAAGGAGACGAACAAAGCTGGAGCTACTGGTGGAGATGGCGGCAAGGGCGATGGAAAGCGCCCCGATCCTAAGCCAAAGATCCAGAAGGTGAAGGATGCGGGAGGAGCTTCGTCGTCTGCACCGTCGGAAACGTCGTCCTCAGTGTTCCCGAATCCAAGATCACCTCCTTCGACATGTGGGTCGGAACTGATGGAGGGAGGTAATCAAGATGCTTTGAAGCAGGTGTTGGATGAAGCACAGAGAATGCTCAGGGGCATGTCGCTCCAGGGGGAGAAGTCCAAGGAGTCGGATTTGGTCGAGGCCTTGAGGAAGATCAAGGAGGCGACTCCAACGATGAAGGCAGTGTCAGTAGCAAGGGTTCAAGCTGGAGGACACCGGGGCAACTCATGCACTACGACCTCGACGACCGGGAGCGGTACAGGCAAGTTCAAGTGTCGTTGGCTGCAGGGGGACGGCTCACCTTGCGGATGACAGAAGGGCAGGCGCTGGTCCATGTAGATGAAGGGGTTGAGCCCATAGTCCCAGTTGGTCGGTTGATCAAGGACCTCGGCTGCAACCTGGAATGGGAGGGTGATCATTGCCGACTGCTGCACCCACTGAGGGACCTCATCGATGTGGAGTTGGTTGAGGGCTGTCCCATGGTAGCTTATGCAGAAGCACTGGCACTCATCCAGGAGCTTGAAGAGTCCAATTCAAGGATGGCACTGAGGTGTCAGGTCTTTGCAGATGAAGGCATTCACACCAACTGGCTCGATCAGGTGGTTCGAGACTTTCCGGAGTTCCAGAACACGCCGCAGAGGATCAGGGACAAGTTGGTGGACACTCCGGCAAGAGATCTAAGTGGACTGCAAGTCAATCGACGGATTCGTCGGAGGTGGGAGAGCGAGAGGGAGTAACGGTGCATCTCTACGCAGGGCCTAAAGAGGGGTACTACTTGCAAAGGGCGGTGAAGGAAATGGGAGGTGACCCCACTCGCATCTTTGAGGTGGACATCCTCAGGGACAAGTCCCACGACATGATGGCCGATGACGGCATGTTTGCGATCCTTCTGAGGATGTGCATGGATGGTTGGGTGGATGGAATCTTGGGAGGTCCCAACTGCCGAACGAGGTCAACGTTGAGGCATCAGCCACATGAGAGGATGCCTGGACCATCAAGGACAACGACATATCCATGGGGACTTCCACGAAATAGCGAAGCGGAAGCTGCCAAGTGCTACACTGATGATGTTCTTCTCTACCGGATGATCCTTCTCCAGGTGGTGGCCCAGATGGGAAGAGATGTGAGGTTGGGGCAAGATTCAAAGTTGCGACTAAATCCAAAGGTCTGCTTCCTAACCATGCGTTCTTGCATTGGACTTGTCTGGATCCTTTGCAAAGGGAAAAGACATCGATGGGGATGAGAAGAAGTATCTCTTGGTGGGATCCTACACGTGGCCAGTTTATGAAGGACACGAGTGGGAAAAAGACGAGATCTTCGAAGGGAAGCCAGAATGGCCTATCTTGGAGGAGGAGGAAGCTGAAGGAATTCCCCCATTGGAGCCAATTCGGGAGCCTTGGCAAGACGAATATCCTGACATGGAAGACTACTTTCCCCAGTCTGAGGCGGAGGGACCTGGAGTTCACGAAGATGAAGAAAGGATGGAAGTTCATCCAGGAGGAGAACTTGAACCGGGTGAGGAGAAAGAGCCAGTTCAAGGCTCTCCTGAAGAGGATGAGAAGCCGGAGGAGGTCGTGCAAGGAGAACCGACCGAAGAGGAACTGAAAGAGAAGAACAAGCCGACTAAGGTCGTTATTACGATGATGCTCTGTGTTCCGCTGGGTTCAAAGAGCGCACAGGAAGTCCTGGCAGGGACTCAGGAACTCTTCACCCGACTTCGACGTCATGGGTACCCAGTTGGACGAGTTCACACTGATCAAGGACGGGAGTTCTGTAATGGTTCATTCAGGCGATGGTGCTTGGAAAGGGGACTGTCGAGAACTACCAGTTGCCCTGATGAACATGCCCAGAATGGAAGAGCTGAGGCGGCTATCAACTCCATTAAGCAGAGAGTGCGACGACTACTGCATGGGGCTGGAATGGAGGTGTGCTGGTGGCCGGCAGCTGCAAGGCATGTGGTAGAACTGGAGAGACGTCGCAGGGAGAAGATCACTGAGAAGTTGCCTCACTTCGGACAGACAGTGGTGGTAAAGAAGAGGTCCTGGGAGCTGCATCAAGGAGCCTTTGAGTCCACTGGAGAGCAGGTGAAGTACCTCACACCAGTTCCGGAGGTGTCAAAGGGACATGCCGTCCTTACGGACAGGGGGTTCGTGAAGGTTGTGAGTTACACGATCAAGGACATCAAGGAGCCGGTAAAGGATCAGGACGAGCTGGCACTAGTTGAGGTGACGGCGGATGAGGATCCCTTGAGGCTGAGACGAAGACTCAGGGAAAAGGCCAGTGTTGCATGTTTGAAAACTCAGGAAGAAGAGGAGGAAGAGAGACAAAGAGTCAACCTCTTTCGAGTCCTGTACGACGAGGAACAACACATGCTGGGTTCTGAAGCAAGAGAAGTTCCAGCATTGCAGCGTGGCCTAGCTCCATTTCGAGCAGAACAAGAAGCTGAGGCAACAAGACCTGAGGAAGACGAGATCCTCCAGACTCGCATCATCCCGAACGAGGAAGTCTTTTTGAATAAGGCCGACTGGATCGAGGCGATAGTGAAGGAAATCAAATCGCTGGAAGAGAAGAAAGCCATCCGGAGGCTGACTCCACAAGATGTGGCGTATTATCGACGAGAACATAGCGACAAGCTAGAAATCGTCCCAGGGAAAGCGATTCACTCCATCAAGGCCCCGGACGCTCGCAAGAAGTGCCGCTTAGTAGTGTGCGGCAATTATCTCAGTGGTGCTGGAGCAGGAGGAGCCAAGCAGGAGGCGGCGCAACTATACGCCGGTGGGGCAGACACCACATGTCTCAGAGCAGCACTAGCTGTGGGTGCTCAGAACGATTGGACAGCAGCTGCGCTGGACGTGAAAACGGCCTTCTTGAATGCCCCTTTGTGCACGGTGGAGGAGAGCAAGAAGAAGAAGCTTCAAGCTCTGGAAGATCGAGAAGAAGGTGGGCAACAACCAATGGAGCCGGAGGTGGAGGAGAAGACGGATCCAAACCGAAGGGAGCGTTTGGTCCTGATGCAACCCCCACGGATCCTGATTCGGTTGGGCCTAGTTCAAGAAGGAGAAATGTGGATGGTTGAGCGGGCACTCTATGGCCTAAGAGAAGCACCAAAGCTGTGGGGTGACCACCGTGATGCTCAACTGTCGACTATGGAGTTCAAGCTAAACGACATTCAGATCGCCTTCAACCAGAGTTTTGCAGATGAGAACCTTTGGATCCTGAGAGAGAAGGACCGGGCAGATGGGTCTTCTGGCCTAGTGCGTGGGTTGGCATTGGTCTATGTTGATGACCTGTTGGTCCTTGGAGATCCTCAAGTGGTTGAAGAAGCGAGACGAAGAAGGTGTCTCAGACTTGGGAGACAACGGAACCACAGTGGGCTGGAGAAGATCCGTTGCGCTTCTGTGGGATTGACATCTACAGGAACACGGAAGGCTTCTTCATCAACCAGAGTGGATTCCTGAGAGAGTTATTGAGAAGGCACTCCATGGACGCCAGAGCATCCAACCTGGTGATGAGGACGACAGCCGAACTACACATGACATCCGAGCAGCACAACAAGCAGCGGGCGAACTACTATGGCTGTCCACGAACACAAGACCAGACATCTCCTACGCTGTGAGCAGGATCTGCTCATCTACGTCTAGAGCTCCAGTCTGGGCCCTGGAGGCGTCCTATCAGGTCATGCGCTATATCTGAATCACTCTCAAGGAGTTGGCATCTGGTACCGCAAGAAATGTGGCTTTGGGCTAGAGTCAACCAGTGACGCTTCGTTTGCGCCTGGAGGACGACATTCGCATGGTGCGGTCATCACTCTGTTGGGTGGGTCACCGATTGCATGGAAGTCTTCCAAACAGCCTTTTCCAGCACTATCCACTGCAGAGGCCGAGCTGATTGAGGTCATTGAGTCAGTCATTCTTGGGGACAGTATGAGTTGCTTGGTTGAAGAGATGGCTGGAAACATGACAAAGGTCCTGAAGTGTGACAATACGGCGGCCATCGCTTTGGGAAGCTCCGCCACAGGAGCATGGAGGACGCGCCACCTGAAAGTGAGGGCAGCACATCTTCGATGGAAACTTGAAGCTGGGGCTTGGGACTTGAAGTACATTGGGACAAAGGTGTTAGCACCAACTCGCATGCAGAACCTCATGCGAAATATGGAGATGGGGTGGCAACCAAAAGGGGGAGATAGGCAAGAAGATGAGTTAGAAGAAGATCTTCCGGTCGTGAACCGCCTGTGGTTGGAGAACGACTTCAAGAAGATTGCACAGTTGGTGACGGTCATTACGATGTTCCAGAAGATTCATGGAGCATTGGCTGCGCAGAACGACACAAAGAAAGAGTCAGGAAATGACGATGGTTCTGAAGTGCTCTACACGTTCGGGGTGATCATGATGATCCTGGGAATGGTATTGATGAAGATTCTCCAACGATGCCATACGCGTTGGAATCGACCCAGGGAAGATCCAACCATGAGGAGCATGAGGGTGGCATCCGATGGGACTACATCGGGTACAAGACCTACTACCAGATCGAGTGGCGAAAGAAGTGGAAGGTCTGACACAGTGCAAGGGCGTCAAAACCACGGGAGGCACTGGGATGCAAACACTTCGAGGAGTTCATTGGCGTCTACGAGAGGGAATGGGAGTCGACCTGCAGAGCAGTATGATTCCAGAACTCAAGGACATCAAGTAGCTCAAGGGGATGATGACTTGGAACCAGAAGAACCATGTGAAGAACCTCCAAACCAGATCGACCAACCGTCGGGGCAGCACTTACAAGTTTCCTTGACAGGAAGGCGAAGGAGATTCGCGTTGGATCCACCATGGGAAGCTTGGTTTGCCGAGTCCAGTCAGTGCTTTCACCGAAGGAGGGAATGCCGGAGACTTCGAAAGGCCAACAGAGTTCGAGGACATCCAATTTGTGGAATCTGCCAGCAGTCAACACGAGAACAGAATGGCTTGGGGGCGGTGAACTTCATCTATGAGGATCAGGTGGGCAACTTCCACACTGACGCGAGGTGTAAATGTGTCACAGGAGCCATGCTTGAAATCAGGCAGTGCAAACTGTGCAAGGACAGCGGCTTGAGCTAGAGGCTCACTTTTTCAGTTGGCTGGTCGTCAGACGAAAAAACCTGACGACCAGGGAGGAGTGCAGGTCAGAGAGACACGCACAAAACGAGAACTGTACTCGAAGCCGTTTCAATATCGAAGTGAAAACAGGTGCGAGGGCACGAGCAAAATCAATCAATCAATCAATCATTCAATCAATCAATCATTCAATCAATCAAATCAATCAATTCACCGCTCAAAAGACTTCGTCATGAGGATATTTAGTCTTTGGGGCCTCTCCTCATGAAGAGGTTTAGTCTTGGTGACCTCTCCTAATTGACCCTCCCGCAAATTGAAGTCGAATTGCACCTTTTTGAACCCCCCCCAAATAGCAAACCTTCTGGCAGTGTTTATTCCAGTGTGGGCATTGGGCAAAATAGAAAATATCCTTAAGCAAAACCAGGATTGCCACCAAAGGACAAGAACCCTTAAGGGGCAACAACGCCCCAGCCTTAAGCAAGGACAAAGGACAAAGGCGCCTTTACCCACAATAGGCAGATATTTCTGCCCAAGAAGAAGTTCTAGGTATACCTATATAAGAACATATACAGTATGAACAATAATCAGTTCTATTACTCAGGCAAAAACAGGTCTTCACCAACAACATGGACACTGAGCATGGGGCTTCAGGACCTGTCAATCTCTTCCCGAAGATTCGGGGACTCTCGCCCTGGCTCTCCCACTCCAGTTGCGGTTGCGATGCCAAAATTACAACGGTCCACCCAACGGCAGCAGGATGCATGGCAGAATCCAACGAACATCCAAAGAGTCCAAAGACCTCATGTTCTGCGCCCTTTTGTTATGTACTCAGCGCAATAAACTGCATCCTCCAGGCCACTGCATGGAGGACCACCGGGCGGTCGTGGTGCAGGTCGTCGGCGGCAATGGCCAAGGCTTCGCCAGCCTGTTGGACCTCGCATCCGAAGTGTCCCAAGTTCATCCAAGTTCTGGTGTTGCTCCTTTTTTTCACCAAGGATTGGAGTGAACATGAGATAATATGAGTGGATCATAGTAAACGGTCCAAACGGTTTCTGAGGGCTCCCCGAGGAACGGTCCGAAAGTTGGATCATGTTGGATCCGAATCGAACGCTCCGAGCGACCAACATGTCCTTCTTTTCGTTTTCGATGTCCTGGTGTTGGGTGTGCTCTTCTCCCCCGGGATCTGTCCTCCTCTTGGATTTGTCTGGTGTTTGGTGTCCTGGAGGTTTGGGTTTTCTTTCCTGGTGTTTGGTGTCTTGGAGGTATTTGGAGGTATTTGGAGGTTTTGTCTGAACAATCTACTCTTGGGGAGAAACCGTTCCCATTCAGGACAATTCAGATCGAATGGAAGCGGATGACACGGTCATTTGATACAAATGACAACATTTTCCTTGGAACAAACAGGTAAACCGTTTTCCACCTGTATCAAGGATGCTGGATCCATCCGACCAATCCGTGCGCCGTGACTTCCCACGAAAGTCGACCCACAGGACTCCATTCGAAAATTCATTCCAGCCGCTGCCAGCATCACCAGCTCTCGATCTGCCTGGACCTCTTCGGGGGCATAGAGCAGCTCCATTCCATCCTCGAAAACAGTACAACGAGTCTGCAGCACAGGCAGGGTGTCTGAAAGGATCTGAAAGGTGCATGCAATGCAATGCAATGCTTAGCTGAGGAGACACAAAGCAACCCCAGTGGATGCCAGTTACCACATTGTTACCACTATGATAGCTGGTAACCCAGCTAAATGTAGTGGTAACCAGTGGTTCCAAAGACTAAAATCACAAGGAACATCAAGAAGCCATAAACCTTCCGTGACTCTGCAGGACAACACAGAACGCCATGACTTGCGTCCCCACGTCTTCCCGACCTTCTGCAACTGCTCGGCCCAATAGGATCTCTCGCTGTCCGTCAGGGCGGCCTGCCGCAGTAGAGACACCTCGAAGTCTTCTCCAAGGCCATCCCACTCGTTGAACTCCTGCGGAACGGCAAATTCCCTGTTGCTGGGAATAGGGCGGCTGCGTACCAGGGGTGGATGATCATCCTCAAATCAGGCTTAGATCATGCGTCCCGTTGGACGCGCCAAGAAGGCGGCTCGAATTCTCGCTTTTTGACGATCTGATGTATGGTGCCCCTAGCCTTCCAAGACTAGAAGAGTTCGGGTGATCCGGTTGTGTAGTGTAAAATCATGTAGAATCCATAATAAGTTAACGAAACAAAATGGTTTTTGGAATTCAGGCTTTTACAGTAAATCAATGGTGGCTGGAATCCTAGGGCTGCACCTCTTCAAACTTGCCGGGACGGACCGGTCACTAGTCCTCCAGATTCTCATCCTCTTTCCTCCGCTCACCATCTGCATGTCCGGACGCATTTTCTCCGACCGCCCCGGACAATGCGTCCTCAGAGCCGCGGAGGAGGCGCTGCTGGTGGCTGGGAATGCCCAGCGCCTTCTGGATGGCAGCCTTCAGCTCCTGACATGATAGTAGAAGCACAAAATGGTCATCTGCACAGTTGTTGGACACTGATTCCTTTTTGGTCGTTGCGTTGAAGGCACCTCTGGGGAGGTGTTAGATGTCACCTGCAGTTCATACCATTCATACCATTCTCCTGATCTAGAAACATGGATCATGGTCATGATTAATCAGTCATGATTCAGAATCATGAATGAATATGTTACTGAATATGTTGTTGTATATATAAAAAAAAAAACTATATACATCTATTTAGAGCATCCTGGCGGCATCCCCATCCGGTCTCCGGCAACTTGCTCTCAGCTGGAAGACGCAACGAGCACAGCTCACCCGCAAGACCCAGAACCCGAATCTCCGGGCTCATGGCGAGTGGATGTGAAGGCTGGCGAGGGCGAAACGAACGGGCACCAAGTCCAGTCTTTTCGCCAGCTGAGATAGTTAACACGAATCTTGCCATTGTTTCAATTGGACTGAAATCCAAGCATGAGGGATGCCCGAAGACAAGACTGGGATATTCTAGCAAACTTCTCCATTGACGGTACTAGTGTTACTAGTGGTGTCCCCTAAAAAGATCCTGATGGATCGGGAGCCATGCTCCTGATCTTGTCCGCAGCTAATTGCTGGAATGTCTGCAGACTGTTTCGTCAGCCAGATTCTTGATCTTTAATGCAGAGCTTCAACTGTCCTTACACAAAGTCCAAAACTTCAGAAACAAGCAAAGTAGAACTAGAGCAGGAATTTCTATCTTTTCTCAGCATGCCACGGAAGACAAAAATAACGGACCAATCGCAGAGTTCCGAAGTTCCACTAGGCTCCCCAAACGTGCTCTGTGTCTTCACCAACATGCGTGGAGAGCTCGTCTCACCAGTCGCCTGCGGAGTCCAGTGTTTCACAGCTTCCCAATCACAATCAAGTGCAGCTTCTATCAGTTTCTCATGAAGACCAGGCAACATCAAGCAACCATCCACCCAACATCACCCGAAAGCAAGTGCCCGGCCGGAGAAAAGCTTGGCCGATTCGGCGACCAAAGAGGAGCCTGAAATCGCGAGGTTCACTTTGGGGAGGACTTCGGACAGTGCCCCCGGATCCCGAAACGCGACGCGTTTTGGGTCGGCTTTGACATGGTTTTGCAAAGCAGTTACACATATATCCTATCCCTCCAAAGGCAAGTTTTATGGGTCCATTTTGCGAGTGATCGTCACATTTCTGTGACTCAAAACGCGATGAACATCGATGAACCAAGCACCATTTCCACACCGCATGTCCACAAAAAGGACCCCAGGATGCTCAGGATGCTTTTAAATCAAACAATAGAAAACGTCCACCAGAAGGCCATTCACCTAGTTCAGGGATTCAAACATCACCCGATCCGCAAAACCAGGCTTGTGTGACCCTTGGTGGGTTCAGAGGCTCGCACGTCGACGGAACTTGAGGCGAGAGGGCCCGAATTCATGGGCTCCACGGTGAGCGCCTCCCCGGAGCATCGAGGATGCGTCGAAAAGGCTGAGGTTCTGGGGGAAGCATGGGCTGCTTTGAACAGGCTGGATCAAGACTCGATGCTGGGAATGCGAGATGATGCGATGATCCTTGTGATGGGAAGCACGGACCATCGAACTCCAGAAAGGCCTTTGTGATTATCTCGGGAAACACACCACCACCAAAAGGCAAGCGACATGTGCGCCTGTGGATCTGTGTACATGGTGCTCTCGGTGGTTTGCATCTGCCTGGCTCTTGGACCAACGAAACGATGTGCCACCGGCAACACCCTCATTTTTCTATGAGTTTTGCAAAGCTTTGTGCTATCTAGACGATCTGCTGTATATAGTGTGTACAGAACGCGTCTACACCTAGGACAGTGAGTCGCAGTGTCGCAAGGACCATCCCACTCGTCAGTCATCAAACAAGCCAAGGGCGACCCTGAAGCCTGGGCGTTGCACAATCTTACACAGAAAGGGTTACAGAATCAAACGATATGTCTAACCAGAATGTTGACTGTTGATATCTGTTGATTATATTTCAATCCCCTTGCCTGGATGGTACTACATCTTCATGTGCTATGGTTTCTTTCTTATTGATCAACGGTCAACAGTCAACTGTGCTTCAAATCGTCCTAGTAGCGATGCACTTGTTCCTAGTAGCTTCTTGTTACTACTAGTAAGGCACCTGTTACTACTAGTAAGGCACTT